CAAAACTATTTCACTCAAGATCAAAGATTCAAAGTAATTGATATCCAATAGAAAGTCTTGTCACAAGAATTACATAAGTACATGTATGTGAAGTATGAAAGTCATAGCTCCAACAGTTCAAAAGTATGATTCAGGTTATAGTTGGGTAATGTTGTGCAAAATTGGGTCAGACTCCAAAGTCGAAAGGTTAAATTTGATGTACCAAAGCAGAGGTCTTGTCAATACACAACTGAAATATGAAATTAAAGCCATTATTTCAACCATTGAAAAGATATTGAAACGATTAAAGTTTTTGCGAACAAACAGACAATTTGACGGACGGACCACAAAAAAAAAAACAAAACATTTAACCCCGAATCTTTGAATACGGGGCAGAAAAACTCTTGGAAAAATCTATATTTATTGCAAATTTTCTTTTTTGTACTTTATTTGTTTAAAAAAGCTAAACATTTAATGTATACAATTTATTTTTTTTTTTCAATTGAATACGGTTACTGAGAATTTTAGCGCGATGAACTGACGTCTTCTCTCCGTTAATTTTTCGAGTGATGTGCAAGAAAAATAATTATCTACCAGATTTATTGTTCAATTAATGCTCTTTATCCTGTATATTTGACTTGCCTACATAGCCCATCTTCGCTAGCCAAGGGTTTTCGATCCGAAATCTACAACGTTGTAAAGTAGATTTCGGATCGGAAACCCTTGGCTAGCAAAGATGACATACCGTAGCCAAGCGTTGTAGCACGCTGTTCCAGCTGCATTTCATTCTGACATTTTTAATTTCATTTCCGATATAATTATTTTTTCTTTTCCGGAATTTACCTGTGCGGCAATTTTAAATGTTTCAAAGTAAGTGAAAATGGAATTTAAATGAATTTAAAAGTCGATATTAATTACCAAACATTTATTAGCATATAGTCTTGGTGAAAGAGTTTAATGAACATAAAGTTTTTACCACATTTAAAGTGCACTAAATAAATTAAATTTCAGGGGGAACTTATTAGAGATATATTCACAGTCGCTTCATTGATAAAAAAAATCAGAAATTGGATATCAATGATTTATCTAATTATGTTATTCTTTTAAAATTTTCTTAGGTAAAGTCTTCAAATCTACTACTAAAGGTACTATCTGAAAAATGTCGAAAATGAAGTCCAACTCCGGACAGGGGAAAACTGGATTTCTGTAGTATAGAACATAGTATGCAGTGTTATCTTAAGTAATATTCGACAAATTCCATTTTTATTGGCGTATAAAAACCACGCCTCATTTTTTTTTCAGTTAAAACGTCCAGTTATAAAGCGATCGCGCATATGTACTGTATACTTTCATCATGTTCATCTGATTAAAATTAAAAAAAAACAATAAGCAGTAAGATAGCGCGATATTTTACGTGTACAATAAATGCAATTTGTATGAAGAACATCATGGAAAAGGAATACATGTACATGTGAGTACGATTTGCTCTTTATCACATTTTCTATTCTTATGTTTTTTTTTATTCAATTTATTTTTTTCGGGATTGGTGGGTCCGTTTAACCTTTTTTTAATTTGATTTTTTATATAAAAATCTACATTTTGAAATAACGATCAATGAGTACAAATTTATTGATTACACATAACGCGCAATTACATGCTAATTTTGTTTATAAATGTATCAAAAGTAGATTAAAAAATTCTATGTCCGCCTTACGACCTCAAACAATATAAAATCAATCATTTTAAGTTATGCAGTATAATCTTTTTGTCTCCTGTATTAGTGAAAGTGAAGTGGACATAAAATCTCACCCGTCTGTCCGTTCGTCTTTTACAAAAAAAAACTTCGACATGTACCTTGGTCGTAACTTTTGAAGGAGAAGTTATGCGGCATTTATTTTTCACTTGTAGTATAATTTTTCACCCTCCCTATATATAGACATAGTCCTTGAAATGACGCAAATATAAGCTTAAGCCGGGAGTAAATAACCTGACATAACAATGCATAATTTAATGCCCCTGTAATCGAAGAGTCGGTGTATATTATATAGTTTTTGTCCTGTTCGAACGTCCGTCTCTCTATTTTTCAATTTGTCTGCAAAAAATTAAACCTTAAAAAGATTTGCTAATGAATGGCATATTCTCTTTGCACATGCGTAGCCTAACGTATGCCAATGGCATCCGGTTTAACCTCGCTTATATTTCTGCATGGACCTCAGGGTCCACGCAATAATCCCCTAAAACGTATTCCGGCCTACGATGATATCACAATTTTGTTTTAAATCAAATAAATCGATAAATAGAGAATGATACATACCCTTTTCCATATCACATTCTGTGTCAGTCCGAGACACCAATATCAGCCAGAGGGCCGAATTTGGTTTGAAAAATAATGCCTTTCACACGTTAAAAGTCACAATCAGGTAAATATATAGTATGAATAAGTCACAAATGTAAATAAAAGTAATAAGGTATCATTTTAACACATTTATCGGGCTATAAATACGGGTTGGTACATGTACGAGATTAAATTCATCATAAATTTAATAGCCCGATAGATGTTTTAAAATGATACCTTATTTTCTTTTTTTTACATTTGTGACTTATTCATACTTTATATTTACCTGATTGTGACTTTTAACGTGTGAAATGCATTATTTTTCAAACCAAACGGCATGTATGTAATATAATATATATAATAAAACATACTTAGTAATAATATACAGCACACATTAAGTTGAGAAGAAAATAAGTATTTAGTCATGCATGGATTTCTTACATACATGAACATGGTCTATTGTCTCATACGATTTGGGTTTGTTTCTACTTCTATTTCAATGCACTCGATCCGTAATTTGAAAATAATCTATTACATGTATTTGTAAATTAAGATTAACCTTATTTTCAAAATGTTAAAATTAAGAGAATACGAACCCACCAAAAATTGTGTATGATTACAAGGACCTTTTTTGTGGTTTAATTTACTAATTTACTAATCCTGCAGGTCTGAGATGGATTTGTAGGGCTGATATAGGTTATCAGCCCCGCAAATCCATATCAGCCCTGCAGGGCTGATACGGCTATTGTGACGTCAGCCATATCGCATATGCAAAAAATCTGTATTTATTACTAAGTGTGTTATAAATAAATATAAAAAAAAATGTTTAAAACTATACACAGCCAATTGTGCCTATCGTTAATTTAACATGAAAATAACATTAATTTAACGTTACATATTTAACGTTTAATTAACGTCAATCGAGCTTATACATGAATTTAACGTTAAAAAATTTAACGTTAAATTAATGTAATTTTCATGTTAAATTAACGTCAAGTGTTAAATTAACGTTAATTAGTTCACACTTATTTAACGTTAAAATGCATATTTTTGGAATTTTCCTTCCTATTCTTCCAGAAAAATACATGTTATTGCATCATAGCAGAAGCTTAACTGATACTACATGTAATCATAATTATTTCTCTAAAAGTACACCAGAACACTGAGAAGTTCATCAGTTTTGCACTTTTCCTTTTAGCACTGCAGAAAGCTAAGCTTGCATGTTGACTTTATCCCCTGTGTCACTTTCTTTTCAATTTGAATGTATCCTAAAGGTAAAGAGACCCATCAGCTCTTTTAACAAAATCCCTAAAATTCTGAGCATTGCCTCCAATTTTATATTTTCTAAAGAAAAGAGAAAAAAAACACAAATTCATCCATTAATACTTTTAATCAGGCATCTTCAATACAATGCTACAAATTTTCTTTCTTTTTTTCCAATCTGAAAAAGAAGAGGTAATTACATATATAATAATAATTATTTTAAAAAAAAATACTTTAAACATGAGCAATACATTAACAATTAACTTCAATTTGTCTAAAATATACTAAAACAAGAAGTCCATGAACCACATTGCTCACTCAAAACATGGGCTAGTTAAAAAACACAAATCAGCTAAGGATTGAAAAGCTTAGTAACTGTTATTGGGGGGGGGGGGGGGGGATTGAATTTTCTATAACTCGAGAATATCGTTATTTCAATACAGCATACATTTAATATGTTGACGGTGCGACCGTTAGGGCGAGCGCAGATACTTATCCAGTTTCCATTTAGATCGAACTCGTCAAACCACACGTGACATTCGGTGCGTATGACTCTGACGTCATATGATGTCGTTTGCATGTTGCTTTACCGAACAGAGTGCTGATTTCAATCAGTTTATGATTATTTTTCTGCAATAACAGATAAATTCATTAAATCAGGGCAAGTGTATATTTCTTTTATCTTTTGTCATTATTTCGCGAGAACGTGGCTTTAGTGTTTGTGAACGAAGCGATGCATTGTGGGTCAAAATTGCTGCGGCAAAACATTTTATGGAATGAATGTGCATTAGTCCGAATTTTCTCTTCGCCCAGGCGTTGTCGTTGGAGCTCGTAGTTACAAAAATGTTTCATACTCCAAGGTCAGGGTCAAAATTGGTGGTACCCAAAGAAGGGTATGTGAAATATGACTAAATCAGATGTTATAAGCAAGGTTTAAATTCTTGCAAACAGCTAGACACACAGGCAGTTATACAGCTAGACAGACAGACGGATACGACAAAAAAATATATTTCCCCGAATCTTCGATTACGGGGGCATAAAATCCATATTTTCCTTTCAAATTGTATACACGTCATATATGTGAATTTTTTTTCAAACTAAACAACATGTGCTTAATTTTCTTTGCAGAATATTTCCTCTTCTATTCTCCCTTTGTTGTCACCAAGCAGAAGGAATATTAAACTTGGCAGATGTAACAGTATATGTCGATGAATTTATCATAAACTTGGGGGAAGAATTTGAAAATGGAGACATTGATAATGCTGAAACCATTGTTCTTAATTTATTAAGAAGTGTTCCGGGGTTTGGAAATGTTGTGAAACTATTTGTTAGCGGCGGGAATTCGGAAATAAACGAACTTTATAGAAAATTAGATCAAATGTCACATGATGTATCTCAAATTAAGGCGGTGGTACAAACAATACCATCAATAATACAAATATCTGTCATTCAAAAACAGGTCGCTGAAGACGAACGGGAAATTAACAATTGTTATTTGGACTCTTTAAGTTATCTTAATAACCCCACCGGGTCTCCGGAAATTGATAGAATGAAAACGTGCTATGACAAGTTTCAGTATGTTAGGGATGTTAGTCGGATTCTTCAAGGAGAATCGGTTACTTTTAATCAACACTCTTTGTTTAAAGAAGTGAAATTGAAGAGTGGTTTTTGCAATGGAACTGAGATAGTAAACATATTCAAATATCTCTATGGACTTTTTACAAAAGGATGCATAGCTGTCGGACTTGCAGAACAAGTAAAATTCGAAAATAGTACCAGAATCAACGACGAATGTCAGTCATTTGTTCCACGCATTTTTACTTTTATCCGTGAATTCTACTCTACTTGTCAGACTTTCGATTTATGTAGCGTGGAAAAAGAACACAATTTCATGCTTCAAACGATATCATCGGACGTGGAAAACAGTATTAAATTTTTCAAAATTTTATTCCCGTGGTACGAAGCCACATTAATTAGAACGTCCTCTCCTTTAGATTACGAAATACTGGATTCTACCAGAACGCCATCAGTCATGACAGTTCAGAGGGGGTTTACTTATTATTCTGTTCTTTGGTTTCCAGTCAAGACGATGTTTTTGCACACAAACGCAAACAACGTTTCCAGTTTTCAAGTGAAATTTGAGGGAGCTTATGAAATAGAAAACGGTTTGAACTTAACTATCGTCCGTCATAACAAAGAGATTGTGCTTTGGGGATCAGTGAACGTATCAGCTTTGAACGTACGTCTGTTCAATCCCTGTAAACACAAAATAAAAGCTCCTATGCCAGCTGTTAGCAAAACAGGCCTTAAGGATTGGGAAATTGCTTTGGTAGTGGTTGGATCTCTGGTAGCCTTTGTTATAATAGTTTGTGTCATAAAACGTTGCTGTAACAATAAAGACGAAGGTAAGTCGGGCTGTGAATTTGTTACATTAAAACTAAGGTTCAAACTTTTTTATAGCTATCTCAAGGGAAACAATTGTAGAGAAGTTTAATTTTAAGATTTATAATTTAAATGTATTATTTATATATGATAAAATTTTCATTCAAGAGTACATACAGCTAAAAAAATCTTTTTAAATTAATGAAGGACAGACGGAGAACCTCCTAATCTATAGGAATATTTTTTAGGGTGATAGAAATTTGTCAAATGAAATTGCATTGCAAAATCCGAAAGGATTCTTGAGATTTTGTGTAGAAACGAACGTGTTACAGACAGACAAATATAAAGACATTCTGACCGACGAACAGACAGAACGAAATCAATATTCCCACTTTAAAAGGGGATAAAAATACTGTTCACTATGTTATTCATTCTACCTTGTTAAAAAAAATACTTCGTCAAATATCTGCAACGATAAAGATTGAAATTTTACGTATATATTTTCTGGGTTTTTTTTTTTAGATCAGACTTCAGGCACAGTTGGTCATCCAAGCATTAACTTAAGTTAGTTAGGACAAATGCATATTGACAGTTATTGCAGAATAATTGAAATTTTTCATATATATTTTCTATCTTTTTAGATCAACCTTCAGGCTCAGTTGGTCATCCAAACATTAACTTAAGTAAGTTAGGACAAATGAATATTGACATTTATTGCAGAATATGTTACTTTCTTTTCAGGGGCATGATATAACCTTTAAAAAGTTGGAAAGTTTAATTATATACTAGTATCCTTGCTATAAAATCCAACAATTTAATGTTATGAATATCGTTAATCCAACTGTTGCGGATACAACTAAAAGACAATTAAATGGACAAAAAGCGTCATTGGTTTAAAGTTTTTTCCGACCGAAATTAAAAAAAAAAACCACTACTTTTCTAATCGTTACGATGTTTGATATTGCCCCTGATTGAAAAATTACTATCCAGTTCTTGTCTGCATCGTAAAGATTAAACTTTTATATATATTTTTTTCCTGTCTTTTAGATCAAACATCAGGCACACTTGGTTACGCAGACACTAACTTCAGTAAGTAAGGATTAATGAATGTTGACAATTATTGCAGAATGTGTTAGTTTGTTTTCAGGGGCATGATATAACCTTTAAAATTTACAAAACTTTATAATATATCCTTGCTTTCAAACCCTATAATTGCAATTTATATAATAAATATCAATAATTAAACTGCTTTGTATACAAGTTAGAGACGATTCAATCAATCATAAAGCTTCGGAGATTTTCAGTATTTAAAAAAAAACCCACTTAATTTGCTGATTATTTCAAGTCTGACATTGGCGTCGTACCTGGGGGGGGGGGGGGGGGGGGGGGGGGGGGATGGGGGGGTGTTAGCACCCCCACTTTTCTTTGCAAAGATTGACATGATATAGGCATTGAAAATTGGGGTTCACCCTTTTTTGTTGGTCCCCCTTTCTATTAGCCCCTTTTCAATTTGCTTCCGACGCCCATGTTTGAAATTGATTTTTATTGAAAAATTACTGTCCGATTCTTGTCTGCAACAATAAAGTTTGAAATTCTACAAATATTTTTGTCTGTCTTTTTAGATCAAATAACAAGCTTAGATGATTTTTATAGACACTAACTTCAGTAAGTAAAGGCAAATAAATATTGACAATTATTGCAGAATGTGTTAGTTTGTTTTAAGGGGTTTGAGACATATATTACCTTTAAAAAGTTTCAAAGTTTTTTGATATATATCTTTGCCATTAAATTCAACAATTGCATGAAATTTTTAGCTATGAATATCATTAATCAAACTGTTGCAGACACTTTAATGAATAAAAGGCGTCATAGGTTTGTCGAACGAAATTTTTAAAAAAATTACTAAATAATTTTTTTTCTAATTATTATCGTTTGAAATTATCATGTCTGAAATTGATTTTTAATGTAAAATTACTGTCCGATTCTTGTCTGCAACAATAAAGATTTCAATTCTACAAATATTTTTTCTGTCTTTTTAGATCAAACATTAGGCCCAGCTGGTTTCCCAACTACTTCCTTCTGTGAGGAAGGACAAAGGAATACTGACAATAATTGTTGCAGAATGTGTTAGTTTGGTTTCAGGGACATAAAATAACCTTTAAAAAATTGCAATTTTTCATTATATATCTTAGCTATAAATTAAAATTCTACAATTGTTTATGGAATTAAGAGTGCCTGGTTTGCCACTCAAAGACCTGCAGATAAACAAAATACTTTGAAATATGCTAATTAGAAGACGTAAATAAGTTAAATTTAATTAGGATCCGATAGCAGTTCACAGATCAAATAATTATTAATATATGGAACATGTCTTGTTTGCCTGAAAGTGGTGTCCTTGTCTGATGTCAAGAATTTAAAAGAAAAATTTTGACCAAATATAAAAAAAAATGAATAAAACTCGGGTATACTTTATTTTTTTTTTCAGGTGTAGAAATAGTAATAAAGGTGGATCTAAAGTTTATTATTGATTGCTTTTTTAATTTCAATTCATTTGTTGTATGAATTAAAGTAACTTATTTTTTCATTGTTTGACCATTTCAGTGAATAATTTTTATATTTGATGTTTAAATTATTCTTCAATATTTATCCGCACAGAGATTACTTTATATAATTGAAAGTTCAAAATTACTTGTTGCATAATCGTAAATGTATAATTAATAGGTTATATATTTGAATACTGTTAAATAATTCCATTCTTAATTTTATTTATTGATTCCTTGTGTTTTGATTGGACGAGAACACATTCAAGATCAAAGTACTGAAAGTACTGGGAAGCGCTAAGCATATTGATTTGGAATTCGTCAGAATTATTTTAATTTAAAATGTCCTGTGGTGTTGAATTCTAAGCGATATTTTGACAGTGCGATACACAGGGGCCTGTAACATACTGTATTTGATTTTACATAATCACTATATGTATACAATCAAAGTACTGAAAGTACTGAAAAGCGGTTAGCATGTTTTCATGGAATATGACTGTACAGAGTAGAATAACAAAAAATGCATTGAGTGATGATATAAAAGTAAGCATGCATATCTTTGTCCAACGTCATCAGCGAAGAAGCAGATACACTGACTTTTGTAGTACCTAACTAAATGGTAAAACCAATAACTTCCCAGATTGATGTCACAAATGTATGTTTCAAAATATCAACCTGAGATTTTCAGTTTGAAAGACAGGAAGTTCAATTTCAAAAATTTCTTCCTAATTGTCTCCATTGGTGGCGTCCAAAAGTGCTCAGAACAAAAAAATATGTTGATGTTGCAAATTTAATTGTCTTTCATGCTCTATTGATTCTGAAATTAGCGTGATTAGGTAACTATAAAGGCTACTATAACAAACAACTCAAAAAGAAAATTAAATGATAATTCAAATTCAAATCTTTAGATTAATTTATTTGATGTACTGTACATAGATCTTTAGCTGGCTAGTCTGAGAAAAACGGATGGACGAGCAGAGAATTTGTAAATTAATTAATTTCAGAGAGCTTCAGTTTCGTAGGCTCACTGCGGGTCAGCAGGTGTGACCTGTCATTGGGGATGCTTACTTCTCCTAGGCACCGAGACCGATCGCTGTTTATTCTGTATTTTGATACAGATACTGAGTACATCTGTTTATTAATATTATGAACTATTTCTCTCACAGGAAGAAAGACAAGTAAACAAGATAATAAAGTTTTAAGAAATGTACATTATTGACTTTTCATACAATTAAATGTTCGAATACAGTACCGACCAGACACAACCTAACAGAAAGCGAACCCGGAGCGGACCCCGGGTTCGCTCTCTGGGTCCGCTCCGGGTTCGCTCGGGGTCCGCTAAGGCTGACCCCGAGCGAACCCGGAGCGGACCCAAAGCGAATCCGTAGCGGACCCCGAGCGAACCCGAAGCGGACCCAGAGATCGAACCCCAAATTCAGTAGCGGTCCCAGAGAGCGAACGCGGGTTCGGTATTTCTTTACAGAGCTGTCAATCAGGATTAGCGATTAACCAATCAGCGCATCAACCAATCAAAATAGCATATTGATCTGTCGATTGGGATATAAGATCGAACGTGTTGATTTAATTCGATATACATGTAAATCCAAACACTGTACATACGAGCAAAACGATAATTAAAATATTATTTAATATTTATTTATTTTAATTCTCCGGGTTGTATTTTATATTTATATATTTATTTTCTTTTCATTAATGCAATTAATTAATTATATGTTTTAATTTTCCACGTAGAATTATACATGAATATTTACGTTTTTATTTTCTTTAGTTTTTATACCGGTATTTAAAGTCCATTTGATAAATAAACTGGGTAAATACATCAGTCAATGCATAAAAATGAAACTCAATTGTTATTACAATTTTTTACTGACAAAAAGAGGAGAATAGAAATATAGTTGGTCCTCGACAATTATTGTAAAATTTCATCATCTCAAGATACTAACAATTCAGGAATATTAACGTGCCCAATATTTAAACATAAATAGATACAGAAAACATCAAGACAAAAGAGAGAGAGAGAGGGGGAGATCATAACTATAATCTCTCATCATTAGACTTGATTTTAATAATAAATCCTGACGACTTTTACTTAAATTTCTATGAGTCTTCCTCCCAATACTGTACTTAAAGACCCAATTTTTTTTACCGTAGGGTTACCTGAGGAGGGGGAGTGGTCTTAGTAACAGTGGTGTTATTTACCTGGAGACCCCCAATACCCAAGATGTCAAAAATCTATATACACGTAGCATTACACAGGAAGTCTGTGTCTGGTGATCAGGGGCAATATTCCGTGTTTCGTGTCTAAATTTGAGTGAAACTATATGAAATAATTGAAATATTTCAATAAAAAAAATTTATAAATACTTTCAGCGATATATAATGAAGAAAAAAATTATAAAAAGAAATATCGTTTTTATATTTAAAAAAAAATGATAAATTAAAGAAAAGAACACAGAGTAAAACTACAAAGTAAACAAATCTTCTTTTAGTTAAACTTATGTAAATATCAAAATAAAAAAAAAAAAATTCTATTAATACAAGTAGGTAGGCCTATCCGTCGTGTGAACATATACAATGTACAGTACCACGATAGGAATATTGCCTACGTTCTGATCAACAATAGTGTCGAAGATATTAACCATTTCCGGGTGTTCGTGTGTTTAAATCTTTTTTTATTGTTTGCAAGATTTCTTATATACTTGTAAGAATTGATCTTTGGCTGTATATATTCACTTTTTAATTTCGAATATTGGGTATGTGACAGATGTTAGGAAATTCGAACTAAAAGTTACAATCTGGAAACTCCTAGCTGTTTCTGACATTTCAGAACTTTACAACGGAACATGGTGTAGATTGTATTCATATAAACGTAGGTAAAACATGGGATAAATGAATTTTTTACCCGTGCCGTTTATGCTAAATATCATTTCTTATTTATCATATTTCAATTTTAATCAGCGTTTCTGTGCACGGACTGGTCTAAATTCTACAGAGCAGATATCTTGGACGACATATCGCCTAAAATACAATATGTAGCCGTTGAGATTTAAAGCAAATATTTTATGAAGTCATGTTTTAATTATCTACTCTCAATTGTTTTTAAAATAAAATTTTACCAAGATTCTTTTTTTAACCCCCTTGTATACAAGACGGCTACATGAAAGTGTTTGACGCGTGACCAGGCAATCGTTTTCAAAAGACACAAACTCAGACTATCAGGTAGCACGGGTAGATGACCTGTCAATCAAATCAGAAGCTATTGTTTTTTTAATGATTGACTGGCGGTAAATAATTGATCTTGAATCAGGTAGATTTTGGGGGCGTTAACATTAAATTGGGTGTTTAAATTGTTTTCTATAAGCCTGCTGCAGCTATTTTTTTTTTAAATATACATGTACAGGAAGATGTATATAAAGCACTAAAAATGACCAACAGTTTTCGGGACGCTCTGTCTCTTCCTTAGGACAAAGAAAAAAGTTAAAAAGGCATAAGAACAAAGGGAAAATAGAAACCAAAAACAACTAGCACTACTCATAAACTACTAAACACTTTATATTTACATAGTTACATGTTGAACTGGAAATTTATATAAACACTATTAAAGAAAGAAATCCGGACCGCTGTGAAATACGTGATCTGGTTTATCGGGGTATACTCAGGTGAAGTGCGATTTACATAATGGAACGAATTAATTACGCTAATTAATCACGCCATTTAGTAAATCGTACATTGTTTCATTCTCTCAAAATGGCGTAACTATACCTGACAAAGAATGAACTATTATAAATTTTGAAATGTTTTAGGACTAATTCTTGGGAAAAAATAATTAATAAAGGCGTAAGCAATACATAGTTATGTGGGTTGTTCGAGAGTTGGTAAGGCAAACTAACTGTAGAGTTACACTAAATTGAAAGAATAATCTTGTTAAGTATCATATTAGGAATTGGGTCTAATTCACGTTCATTCTGGTAAAGTCATTCAGTTTGTTAATACCATTAAGGCGGAATGACAGAAGGAAGATTTTCATATACACACATTTTTTTCATGCCCAAGAAGATCAATAAGTTTAAGAAGATCAATAATTTTGATGTAAATTTTGAATAATTTAATGTAACACGTAAATTGAGAAATCAAAATAAAATAATTAAATATATAGAATTTTTTAAAGACAATGTGTGTGTGAAATAGGGGGCATATACCGGTATTAATATATTCTTATCGGGTCGGGAGAACAATTATTATTTGCCTTGTTCTTTATTCTGATTAAAATCATACTCGCTCCAAATTTCTGACCGTGAAAAAAAAGATCTAATATACTGTGTAATTTTTTTTTAGGAAATGTCCGGTAAATAAATATTGCGAACTTTTAATGTGTAACTACTATAAATGAAATCTAAATATATCAAATGTACAAAAGGTTACATGTAATTTATATATAGATGCGATATCATAATTCACGTGTTAAGCAAACATTTAAACTACGATTTAGCAAAACGTAAGGAATAACAAATGTATTTTTAAACTATGTAAAGCATGAATTAAAAGGGTATTTAGTGTAGATTTCTTTCGTCAGTTTCACTTGTACACCATTCGATACATTGAAAATCAATTCAACACTCTTTTTTTTTTCTTCTTTTTTGTTTTCTCGTTTTAACTTAAGAAAAATAAATGCCTTATAACCCGCCGTTAAATTAGTTTGAATTTCTCGGGATCGAGAAATCAAGGAAATCAATTATTCATGTACATGTAAATCTACGTTGAATGTACATTTGAATTTTAGAAAAGTTATCAATGTTCTCCATTATATCACTGTTTACATGTACAGTTTACATGTCCGCATCGTCGCATAAACAACAATGATCGATCCACAATACCATTACTGTATTGGAATATACAAGGGGCGGGGCTTACTGG